CTTTCTTTTACTTCATCATTTTTCCCATTGTTTTAATTTCTCTATGTTCCAGAGCGAGTTTCAGAGTCCCTTCTGACATTCCCTTTGATCTCTTCTTTCTTGTCTGGTTTTTTAATGTAGGATGTTCTTGATGTCATCCCACAACTCCTCTGATCATTACTCTCTAATGAATCCAATTTATTCTTGAGATAATCTCTAAATTCACATGGCATATATTCAAGGTCATGTTTTGGCTGCTGTAGACTTGTTTTATTTTCTTCAGCTTCAGCCTGAACTAGCATACGAGCAACTGATGGTCTATTGTGGAACAGTCAGCCCCTGGCCTTGTTTTGGCTGACGGTATGGCACTTTTCCACCGTCTCTTTCCACAGATGTAGTATGGCACTTTTCCACCGTCTCTTTCCACAGATGTAGTCAATGTGATGCCTGCGTATTCCATCTGGTGAGGTCCATGTGTATAGTCACCGCTTATGTTGTTGAAAAGATATCTGCAATAAAGAAGTCATTGTTCTTGCAAAATTCTACTATGAATCTCCAGTATCACTTCGATTACCAAGGTCATATTTTCCAACTACCAATCCTTTCTCTTTGTTTCCAACTTTTACACACCAGTCAAAAATAGTTATCAATCATCTTGAGTGCATGTTTGTTCAAGTTCAGACTGAAGAAGGTGGTAGAATTCTTCAATTTTATCATCACTGGCTTTAGTGGTTGGTACATACATTTGAATAACCGTTGCATTAAGTGGTCTTCTTTGTAAGCATATGGATATTATTCTATCACAGACAGTACTGTACTTCAAGAGAGATCCTGAAATGTTTATTTTGATGATGAATACAACACCATTCCTTTTCAGTTTCACAATTCCAGCATAGCAAACCATTTGAATGTCTGATTAAAAATGACTAAAACCAGTCCACTTCAGCTCACTAAAGCCTAAAATATTGATTTTTATGTGCTCCATTTAACTTTTGACAAATTCCAATTTTTCTAGATTCATACTTCATATATTCCATGTTTCACTTATTAATGGATGTTTAAAGCTATTTCGTCTCGTTTTGAGTTGTGATCCATTAGCAAATAGAGGTCCCAAAAGCTTTACTCTATCCATGTCATTACGGTCAACTCTACTTTGCGGAGGCAGCTCTTCCCCAGTCGTATTTTGAGTGCCTTCCATCCTGTGGGGCTAATTTTCCGGCACTTTATCAGGCAGTACACCAGTTATTCTTAAGGTTTCCAGGGATTAAATATTGAGAAGTGGTTCACCTCTCCTTCTAGGTAGTCTGTCTTAGTCTGGAAACTCTGCTGAAACCTGTCCACCATGGATGACCCTTCTAGTATTTATTTAAAATACAAGGGGCATAGCTGGCCATCACCAAAACAACGTACAAGTCAATACAGTACAGCAAAATGACAGACAATAGTTAACAGAATTATTTTTAAGTGTCAGTATGTTTTAGTCTTGATAGATTTCAAAAAAGTCTCAATTTGTACAACCAACAACAAAAATACTCTATTTGTATCCTTCACTTTTTCATGATGGCTCAACCTATCATATTCCACTCCTCACTTAGAACAAAACTATCTTTTAGTCACTTGTTTATCTAATTTAAATTTCATATATCTTCTAATGTTAGGTTAAACCATATGTAAAATTGTCATCCAGCCACTTTTACCTAAAATAGGACAACTTCAAGGATTTGACCTAATCTTTAATACCTGGCATACTTTCCTGGCAGCACACAAAGGACTACTTTCATTTTTTGCCTTAAGAGGAAAGAAAATAAAAATAATTATTCTTATGGAAAACACTCATGATACACTGCTAAGTGAAAAAGACTGAGTTAGAAAACAATGTAATACTAATTTCATTTGTACATAAGCATCAAATATTGAAACTCTGCTTTAGACTAACAAGGTTATGCTTCTTCATCCTCTTCATTTGGTGGTTATAATGTTTTCCTCATTTTCTAATTAAGATGCAACACTTCTGTCATTTTAAGAAACAATTTGAAAAATCAATCTGTGCTGAATTGAATTCTTTAACCAAAAAATACTTTTAAAAGCAACTATGTTTTCCTTCTTGTTGTTAGGTACTTAGCAGTTAGTTCTGACTGACAGCACCCAATGTACACAGAACAAAACAGTGCCGGGTCCTACGCCATCCTCACAATCACTGCTGTGTTTCAGCCCATTGTTGCAGCCATTGTATCAATCCATCTTGTTCAGGGTCTTCTGCTTTTTTACTGACCCTCTACCAAACAAGATGTCATTCTCCAGGGACTGGTCCTGCTTTATTACATGCACAAATTCTGTTAGACACTTCTAAGGAGCATTTTAACAGTACTTCTTCCCACACAGATTTGTTCATCCACTGATTCAACAAGATATATTTATAGGTCTTCACAAGTACCATCATTCAAATGCACCAATTCTTCTTCTGTCTTCCTTATCCAATGTCTAGCTTTCACATGCGTATGAGGAAACTGAAAATACCATGGCTTTTGTCAGGTGCACCTTAGTCTTCAAAGTGACATCTTTCCTTTTTAAAGCAACTATAAAAAGTTTAACTAGGCTGCCTCTTTTTGTAACTAGGTGACAAAGTCCATGAGAAATACACAATAACTCAAAAAAGATGCTTCTAAGAACAGTGATCATTTGCCTTGTTGGTACAGATAAATAACTTAATTCATCAACTAAATAAACTTGATTAACAATTGGTTTGATTTCTTCATCATTATATAATAATGATTAACATTTCTAACAGAGACCAAGCCGAATGATTATAACATAAGGGAAAAGAGAGCACAAAAAGAAAAAACCTACATAAACCAAAAGAAACAACAACAAACACTGCTTTGTGTTTTGCTACTTGCTGTTTTAAATCCAACTCATAGCGACCACAACATATAGGGTTTCCATTTCCAAGCAGCAGCTGGTGGGGTCTGAGTGTCTGACCTTGAGATTAGCAGTCCAGTGTTTATCCTACAGTGTCACACACCAGATATCAGAAGTAGGTGTTTTGATACTTAAATGGACATGTACAAATGTTATAAACACATTCAAATCAGTGGTTCAAACACCCCAGCCACTCCTTGGAAACCCTATGTAGGGTCGTCGCTATGATACAGAACCATTCCCATGATATTAACAACAGGAGGTATCTTATTTCTTCTTCTTCTAATAAACAGAAAATTCAGATGTGGTAAAACTTTTCATTTTAAATGAGTTCATTCTTACCTACATGAAGTTGGCTATGAGATTACACAGGTACATAAATTCTGAGAATTTGCTGATTAACCAGGAAGTAAACAATCTAAACCAGAATAGGTTCTTACATTTATAAACCAAAGACTCTAGAAATTACTGGGAGACAAGTCTGAGCTGAACAGATAAACAGACCACAAGGTAAACTGTTAGCTCAATTAATCCACCGTGATTTACTGCCCTCTGGCTGTTGTGGCAGGAGGTATCACTGACTTAAATTTTTTTTTTTAAATGGCTGCAAAGTAAGCTAGAAAGGTATCAAGCAGAAGTTAGTACAAAATCCTCTAGGCAAATTTAGAAGCTTTTTAGCAGACCCTAAAAGTATGCACTGGAGTCCTGGTGTGGTGTTGTGGGCTAATGCACCAGACTGCAAAGTCATTTGAGCTGCAAGGTCGGTGGTTCAAGCTCACCAGTGGCTCCTTGGAAACCCTATACAGGGTTGCTATGGGTCAGAATCCACTCAACAGCACTTAACAACAACAACAGTATGCATTAGAGTCCTGGTGTGGCGCTGTGGGCTAATGCGCCAGACCTTAAAGCCGTTTGAACTGCTAGGTCGGCAATTCAAGCTCACCAGCTGCTCCTTGGAAACCCTATACAGGGTTACTATGCTCCGGAATGGACTAGGCGGAACTAACAACAACAAAATATGCATTAACATTAGTTGTACTCCTTCCTTTAAAAACATTAAAAAATCAACTGAAACTTGCAACCACAAGTTAATAAAATACAAACAAAGTTAGAAATTATAAAAGTTGACCTTGGGAGACTGAATTAGTCAAAATAAGCTAGTATTCTAACTAGAGAAGTGAGTTAGAAAAATCTCTTAGCATACTAGATAGAAACACAGATAAAGAGGCAAAAAAAACTTTTACAAGAAATAGTAAAATTCCCACTAGCTATTATTTCAATGGAGTCCTGGTATGGTGCAATCGGATAAGCAATGGAATGCTCACCTCAAGGCTGGCAGTTCAAACCCACCTGTCGTTTCTTGGGAACCCTTATGCAAGGCCCCTATGTGTCAGAATTGACTCAATGGCACTCAACAGCAACAACACCCAGGAAAAGGAGCTCTGGTAGCATAGTGGTTACAAATCAGGCTGCGGACTGCAAGGTCAGCAGTTCAAAACTACCAGCTGTTCCGCGGGAGAAAGATGAAGCTTTCTGCTCCCATAAAGATTTACAGCCTCAGAAACCCTGTACAGGGTCGCTATGAGTCGGACCCGACTCCACGGCATACCACCACCACCACCACCACCACCAGGAAAAGGCAAAGCAAAACTTGATTTGAACAAAATAGGCTAAATTCTTTTTATTAAACTTTCTTCAAAATACTGTCCAATGTCATCACATAATATTATACAGTAAGGTGCACACTAAATATCTGTATCACCATACAATTTCCCTCAAAATAATTGAGCTGGCAATGAAACACAACAGCCACAGTATAAGAAAAGTAATTTTGTTCATTTCATTGTCTTGCAAATTATTCAAAATTCAGTATCACTTAAAACAGTGGTTCTTAGCCTTGTTTACACCACAACCAAGGTACCCAACAAGGATGGGAAAGGGTAAGGGAATTTGAAGACACTGGGAGTGGGAGATGTGGGTGAGGGTGAGGAGGCACTGGGTTTTTCTTTTACAAAATAGCCTTAATAACCACCTTTCAGGAATTTTTCATTGTTTGAAACACATAATGTAAATAATTTTTTAAGAATAAACGGAAAACTTACCCTGCAGTTCATGATGTATTACACCTACTAGGTTAGGTTCATCTCCCCACCAGAATATCCATAACTCTTTGCAATCTGGTTTGACATCACGACGCCAAACACACAGCAAGTTGGCTTGCAGGCAGCGGATGAAACTTAACAGGATTGGATCATCCTGGGCTGGGGCTGAAATTATGGGTCCACAGTCCCCATGCCCTCCAAAATTGTACCTACGCCATTTGATTCCTGTGAGTTCAGCCTGAAAAAAAGTGACAGGAAAATGGAAATGTTTTAATTTTTATTTCCAATTACAGAACTCTACAGACAGGCTTATATACCAAAAGAAGTATATTTGTTAAAGTAAACATTTAAACTAAACTTGGTAAGATTTCTCTCAGCGAAGAATGTTAATTTCTTCCTATCAAGATTTCTACATGGCACACTTCTACTTTAAATAAAACACCAAAATAACCAATGTTTTGTACTACATCATTTAATTTACCCAAATCATTTATTTCCTATAAAGTCCCTATAGGCAATTTATTATATACTGATTCCTTACACCCTAAGTTACATTCAGAAATCAGGTTAAGTATTCTTTTTAAATAAGCTTGCAGAATTGAAATTAACTCATTTTTTAAAAAGGATTTTCTCAATTTCTTCCCATCCAAAAGCTACATTTTAAATCATTTTTAATCAGGAAAGCAGTTAAGATGCAGTGAGTGGCATGGCGCTTCATCATGAACACCAAAAGGCTATTTACGTAGATACCACTAATGCAACCGATGGAAAGTTATAAGCAATTTATTCGTTATTATTTAATATACAGCAGACAGAAAAAAACTCTGCTTCTATAACAATTCCCTAATGTAGTCTGGTCTTTGTTTTTAAAACACAGAAATCTTTAACAGTCAGATTACAGAAACCTGTATCTTTATTCTGTTATGATGTATATTTGCTATATGAATATTCATTAAATCTTAGCAGAAGGAAGGGAATTTCAAAGATCTTGAAAACACAAAGCAGAATACCTTAGCTAAGTAAGTACCGATAAACTATAACCTTGTATTCAAAACTGATAGTAAAACTAGTAATATAATTCTGACCCAGAGAGCTCACATTTCCCTTACATTCAATTTTTATTTATTCATCTGCCCTCCTCCCCCTCCCCCCTGCATCGAGTCAATCATTTTTGTCAACAAGCTGTTTTTCAAATAACAAGTACCACTGGGTATAAAAATAACTGTACCTCCTACCAACACAACTGAAATCAATGTAAAACACTGAAACAAGCAATCACTATATTGAAAGAATTTAAGAAAAATGTACTACTTTCTTCAAGTTGAAGAAAAAAGATCTCACTTCAAAATAAAATTAGTTAGAAAACTAATGATATCCGACTAAACCTGTCTGGAATTCAGTTATTGATTCTTTAAAATGAGAAAGACAAATTTCATCTTCAATGAATACTCTCAATAAAAGCTGGTTCTAGCATCATTTATGCATTCCTTTTATGTCCCTTGGTATAACTCTGATTATAAAAGTAAATCATAAATAAAATAGTCATACCAGAAATAATTATTTTCTATAATCTCACCAGAAACAATAACTATGTGATCTTTATGCATTGAGTATATACATCTTCAAGTTAGATCCGGAGTGTATGACTTTGCACCCTGATATTTCATTTATTATAAATATTTTTATAGATTACTAATAGCATTCGAAAACTATTATAAATATTTACATAAGAGTCTGTCCGCTATTTGGGAAAAAACAAACATAATAATCATCCCATAACAACTAGACAATCTTCCATTTTTCTCATTATTATAATTAACTAGAACTGAGAAGTGATGAACACTGCTATTTATCTGATTATTTCTTTAGGAAACATGGCTTGATATAAAATTACCATGATGAGTACTATCATAGTTTTTCAATTAATAGTTCCCACCAATACAAATTACCTTCTCCTAAATTGCATAGCCTCTAAAATACCTGCCAATATTACTGAATAATCTATCCTTATAATAATGGTTGTCTTGCTTAGAGGAATACTTGTGGGGTCAGCCTTTCTGGATTGGCATCCCAGCTCTAGACGTAATACACCTGTAAACTGCAAATACCTTGAGAGTTACTTAACATCCGTCCCTCAGTTGCCTAACTTTTGAAATGAGGATACTAGTCCTGACTCACAGGGTTGCTGATCATGAGTTACTATATGTAAGCAGTAAGGGCAGCAAAAACTATCAATGATTATTATTATCATTATGAGCAGCAATCAGGATAGCAGTCCTGTTTTCTCTTTCTCTGCTCATATCCTTTGCCCATTTTTCTATCATACAAGTTCTTTTACAGCGATTTCTTCAAGTAAGAGTTGTGTATGTTTTCATCAGAAAGCCTAACATCAACCATTACATAAATGTCAAAGAAGGTAACTAAATAAAAAGGAACAGTTACAATCAGAAATGCTAAATAGAAAGCTAGCTTTTCATACCATCACCTAACCTAAAGGTGTTCCGTGCCTAAGAATCTTAGGGATCAGGGAAAGAAGGAGGAGAGGTGAGGCAAGGAAGCAGGGGATGAGAGGCGCACAATAATTACGGTGCTGTAGGAGAAGCACTGGGTTGCAATGTTGGTTTAAACTGCAAAGGTCAGCAGTACAAACTCACCAGCCGCTACTCAGAAACCCTATACAGGATCACCATGAGTTGGAACCGATTTAACAACAACAATATTGATATCAAGCATATTTTCCAAGTTAAAAGGTAAGACGCCTCGGAGATTTAAATTTACACAACAGGTGAGGCCGTCCACAAGAAAATCCACCAGCAGCAATTACTCACTAGAATACTTTCACCTATAACATCCGGTATGGCTCAGTAGACAAAATATTTGGCTTTGATTCAAACGAATGGTTTCCTAAATCCTAGCTAGCACTTCCACTAATTTCATATCAGTGTTTCCTAGCACTGAGAGGTGCAGGGGACCCAATGCCACCGGCTCTAAATTCTTGATAGAGTCGTTCTAGCAAGTGTTAGAACACAAATGAAAGTGATCTAGCAGCAAGGCCTCAGAACACTGCAACATACCAATGATTCACCCCTTTATTTTTAAAGTTAAAATTAAGTATCATTATACCAAGTCTTCACTGGAAAACATAACAATGTAAGAGCATTCAAGCCTAAGAGTGATAACTAAGTATAAAGAGGATATTCAAAGACTTATTTGTAAACTGTGAATTAATGTTTGATGAGAGAAAAGAGGACTCAGCAATAGTGAAATAGTCTGTCCAAGAAAGAAAAATCTTATCATGGAAGTGTATTCAATTAAGATTAAAATATGTCCTCACTAACCATAATCTTATTTATCGTTAAAAAAATCAATTCAATTGCAAGTCCTGAAGGCCCCAATTTCTAACAAATGGGTTAATATGGCCAACTCTCAAAACTCCTTATCTAATGATTTCTAAAATTATGAAACAAACCTTAAAAATATTTCTAGATGTAATTCTCTCAAAATACACTGTGCTTCTCTCAATGTCAAAAAGACTGGCAACCCAGAAATACAGTGAAAGGAAGAATACAAAGAGACTTGTTTTTCCTGGTCACTCAAGTTGTCCACCTTTGACAGGTACAGACAGTCACCATTAATTTTTCTGTTGCTCTTTATTTACTGGAAAACATTTATGCTTTCCTTCTCTGACAGGTTTCTGGCTTTCACAAGTTCCGAGTTTTGCAGATTTTACTATGAATTTAAAGTTTTAAATTACAGATCTAAGAAAACAAAATTAAAATATTTAAGTACAAAACCAGAACACACATATGTACAATTAATAGCCAAGATCAGCACCAAATAACAGGTCCCATAATAAACTCTTCATAACTAAAGACATTAGAACTCAAAGGGGTTAAATAAGTCTCTCAAAGTCACATAACTAGCAAACAGCTGATCCCAATTGTACTGTAGTTCAAAAAAAAAGGTTTCCACTTAGCCATATTGGCTCATAGGGCTTCGTGTTATTATAACATAGCACAAAGAAACTGTCATTGACTCAATTTAGTAATGACTACTGCTCACGGTCATACTTTCTAATTTAAGAAAGTTCCTTAGTCTTAAAGTTCATAACTAAAGTTCTTTAGTCTTCCTTGGGTATTAGGAACACAAATATAAGCATACCCACACACCATCTCATGAATAGAAGAAACTTTTTATTTTACTTTAATAATGATACGCCTCCTTTTACAAACTACTACTACAAGATTGTCAGTACACAAATTAATTCTTAGAGTATATGTGCATATAACAAACCAAGTTAGTAATTATTAAAATAGCAAGAGAGGCTTTGGGGGGAGGAGGGGAAGAATAGGGATGGGGGAACTTTCTCTGCCATGTCCAGAGTCTGCTGTTCAGACAGTCAAGGTTCCCAGGTAATTGAACCAGGATAAATTCACTTCTTAACAGCATGAATGTGGTTCAAATAAAATTTGTATCGATTCTACTCTTTATGTACAGTATGTAGAACATGAGCTGATAAATTCTCCCAGTAGAGATCATTTATTTGCACTGACCCACTAAAACCAGATCCCTCATGAGCAATAATAGATACTTGCATTATGGCTCCCCAGAGTTATTCAGCAGTCACGGTACACAGTAAGACTAGCAGGTCTTAATAACAATGACTCACAGTATAGCATCCTGGAAAGAACACTGGCAAAAGGTCAGGAGATCTAGGTTCTAGTTCTGCTTCTTCAACTATCTTATTTATATGATATTCAAAAACTATTCCACCTCAGGGCACCCTGTATGATAAGCATTAGACAGAAAGGTCGATTTGAACTACAAGGTTGGCAGTTTAAACTCACCAGTTGATCCTCTATGTAGGATCACCGTGAGTTGGAAATGGCTCTCAGGCACGTAACAGTTAACAAATGAAAAAAATGTTGCTACCTACTCAATCCTGTGTCTTAAGGACCTGCAGAACAGAGAACTGCTCCATAGGGTTTCCAAGGCTGTACTCTTAGGGGTGTGGAGCTGTGGGTTAATGCGTTGGACTGCAAACTCAGTTTGAACTGCAAAGTCAGAGGTTCAAGCTCACCAGCTGCTCCTCGGAAACCCTATACAGGGTCACTACAAGTCAGAACTTGGCGGCACTAACAAAAACAGTAACAATCTTAGGGGAGCGTAGTGACTCCATAGGGTAAGAATTGGACTAGAAACCACAAGGTCAATGGTTTGAGCCCACCAGATACTCAG